AACTAAGTGCCAACTGATTGTTTATGACACAGACACTTGATGTAACAAATACGGTGAACTGTATGCATTAACATAATAATCAGAGGAAGATTAAAAAGTTCACATACAAGCCTAATCAGAATTGTATCTATTTATTTTTCAAGTAATCACTATGACTTCTCTAGTCTGATGAGGAATATCTATAGTGAGATTTGTGACATTCAACTGATAAAAAAATTTACATACTGTTCATTTATACGGTTATAAAATAAACCAATATCAATAAACTATGAATATATATGCTTCATATTGTAAGTTAAACCTAATGATTTTATTTAAGAAAAGAATTACGATAGATCAGAAAATTTTGCACACTAATAGATAAGAAATATTAGTAAGGTTATTAAATTGCAGATATAAAGTCGTTGATATTCCCTACCCCCTATTATAAGTATTTAGAAAGTTTCCCCTTCATCTACTGACAATAATTCATAGGATGAATCAACTACAAGTAACAACTTGTTCAAATAAAACTTTGAGAGATGTTTGTATAATAATGCGTTGTTATTTCTATCATTATTAGCGAAAGAAATCGTCGAAAATTCGAATTTGATTTCCACTATTGATTACATTATGATAAAACTTTATTCTCGGTTAATAAGAAAGACCTATTAATAAGCAGATCATAAATTATCGTAATGACATTGGTGACACCAAGAATAACAAGTCTCTCTGCATCGACAATGAACTAGATTTTTTTCAAACACAATTAGGAAAATAAAAACCAGAGAACTCTGTCAACACTGGCGCACTTACGATATGGTCATAAATATAAAAAGCCTCATACTCAGTTAGAATTTGATCATTTAATCCATTTTCCACTTGATCATCTAAAGCAGTCGGGTCTTCAACTTCACCGCGAATTTGAATTGGGGCTGAAAATACGAAAGAAAAGTAATTTTGTTGATGTAATATAACAAAAGTGATGGTAAATTAAAATACGCGACTTTTAAACGATACCCCATACACTGGCTGTTATCTCATATACGCAAATATTGAAATAACTTTAAAGACTATTAAGTGAATATCTTGAATTTTTATATATTCTTTGGGACTTTTTTTAAGTAACAAGTGGTAAAACTCCGATGCTTTTGAAACATTAAACAGATGACTCGTATTTACTTATTTAAGACAAGATGTATGTTTATTGTCTAAAATTATTGACATTTTAACAGCTTTATCCAAATCTTCTTGATGTCCTGTATCGGTCAAGTATAAAAGTATGGTGTTCATACCTATCCTTAATTTCTTCTGCCCTTAGTTTTGGAGGATAGTGTTCGAAAATTCAGTAATGGACTTGTGTAGTTGTACAGCTGATGTAAATAGCTGACCAAAAGCACTCAATTATTTAAAAATGCAGATGAACAATCATTTCCAACAAACAAAGCCTACTTTCTAACCAGGCTGGTACAAAAATTCTGTCTACATATGACGTAGTTGTTTCAAGCATCTTAAATAACTTTGTTCGTGGTAAATATGTGCTACCTTCATTTCAAGTTTTTGTGATATGAAAGTTACATGCAGTTTTCTCTAGGTATATTACTAAAATATACCGTTAACGTCACTGTTATTGAGGAGTTTGATAAATTGGATATCTTCATCCACCTTTCATAAGTTTAACTATTTTGATATATGTTAGTGTATTACATAATACAAATAATGAAAATATTAAAAGTTATGGGATTGTATTGGGATTGAAACAGACGTTAGTTTTCTTCGACATCTAAATAGAGAATCCATTTCATATATGAATAACACTTTATCTCCACAATAAAGAAAGCATCATTTATTTAAGTTTAAACTGATTCCATCTATTCAAACGAAACCTTTTACCTAGCAACTCTAAAGTTTAATGAAAATGAGGTAACGCCTCAGGAGTTCAGTGTTTAATCAAATCTTGTTGCATAGAATACATCATATTGAATAACAATTGTTTACTTGTTGCTCATTTAAGGCCATCAATTTATGAACTGTTCAAAAAAGATACTTTCAAATTAACATGAAACACATTACACCATAATACTTAAAGTTTCACTCACCATACACAGCAAGAATCCAAGTAATAAATACTATCATCCACATCATGATCTTCATACGAATTGAATGATGTGTATTAAATGAAATTTCTTCGAACAATTTCTTAGATAAATGTAGTTAATGTCAACTAGTTGTAAAGTTAAATCTAAATATTAAATTATTGTTTTACCTTGGAATTTAATATATATCAATGATTAAAATTTATTATGTGTACTATTATATTGATATATTATTAATATAAACAATTTTAAGTAATTTAATTGGTTTTATAAAATAAAATTATTTATTTAGTGGTTCCAATAGCATATGTAAATAAATTTAGAACAATTAATACATGAATTGAGGGCAGTAGTTCGAGTTTATTGGTTAGACTGGACAATTTTATTTTGTCATACAACTAAACTGTAATAGTATTGATAATATTTATAAAACATTTGTCTAGTACGAAAAACTATCATATAATTTTATTTGCCTAGTATTTGTTATTTTATTAAACTGAATTATGAATTATTATTGCCAAGTTTCATGACCCAAAATATAACTTGTAATAGGAAATATTTAATCAATAATAACAGGTAAACTAAACAGTGTCAATCGGTAATTTGATGACAGATTTAGAATAGATTGGATTGTTACTGGCTTGCTATTTTACATAATAGATTTCTTTAATTAATAGGTTAACTCAGGTCATTAGGGATTTATGTTATAACATATAGAGTACATTATTCTTATTCCAGTTAATGTAACATTCATTTGTGGCTACATACTTGGTTTTTTTCCGTTTCTATTGTTTAAAGTGTCTCTAGAAGTCCTAATAAGTCAAGCTATTCAAAATATACTATCAGTTCATGTTTTATTGTTTACTATTTACACAGCCAGACCTAAATTCAATTCACCAACAATTATTCGAGCAGTTAATCGATAATCGGAAAGTATGAAAAGCTTACCAAGTTTAGTGTTTTCATCAATGTTCGTTCTGTATTAACATCATCTTTGTAGTCTTCATAGCCATCACTAAATCACTTGATTAGTTTGAAAACTACTATTTTCGTGAACATTTCATTTCTATACACAGTTATTACCATATTCTTGATTTTGTGAAATATGTTTTTAGATTTCATCATGAAAGGATACAGCCCTCTCAGAGTTTTTCATGGAACAGATCATGTATTTACCTACTGAAGGCAATATGAATATAAACACGGGTCACGTTCATACCAAAATCTTCCGAATTACTAGTTTATCCGAGGATTTTTATGTACTTTTGGTCACAATTAGTTTAAGAACAACTAAGTGTCTATAGTTCATTATGAGATTAATACACAACACCTAGAGTTTGATATAAGTTGCAGAGTTATTTCATAAACAAGTCATATTGTTAAACTAACAAAGTATCTTGATATTCGTTAATTTTTATCAACATACAGTTCAAACTTACTATAATCCTTCATATCAAACATATTGCAATTTCCAACTGAATTCACAGTCAGTTGTTACTGTTTATGGGTGTAGTTATTATTGATTGACTGATGAGAAATGACGTTGTTGAATCGAATGAACGAAAACAATTATTTAACAGCACAGATAACAATAAATCACAATAGAGATTCAATCGTTTCAATGCCTTAGTTGATATCTTTTACTGAATTATTTAAAAATTGCATTCATAGTTTTATATTCATAATATTTACTAGTTGGTAGCATATTATAAATCCATTAAACACAGGACATTGTACGTACGACCCGTTTTTCATGGATAATTCATTGAACAGTCATAAGTGGATATAATCAAACTACTTATGTGTATTTATACTTATATATACGGAAATTGTCATTCGATTGAAGCCTTACTTCTCATAGCATTTATGAAAAGTAATTACGATGCCATTTTGTTTACTATATATATTAATGAGCTACGTTAGTGAACACTTCTAGTACATTTCATTCCTTTTTTACTGTACATCATATAGAACTACCAAGAATTGTATACTATGTCGTAAACTTGACGAAGTGCATGTTTCTTAATAGACTTCTACTCAGTGGCTAAATGTTTTAATGTTCGTTGAGAAATTAATTACTAATGTAACAATATGTTGTGTAGAGTCGATGACGAATATTTATGAGCATTAGTAAAAGAGAATAGACTAAATATATTGATCGTTACTGTTTGTTGATATGGGAATTCTCCTTCATATACTTACCTAATTGATGGATACTGACTAAGAAAGTATTATGTCAACTAATTTTTTTATTGGCAAAGAAACAAAGTGTTCTTAGATATATAGTTTTAACGGTTGATATAATAGCTATGAGATGTCGAAAATTTTCATGCTTCTGCTTAAAAAAGTATTATTATTCATGCTAATTTGGTTTAATATAAGCTACTAAATATAAAAAAGACCTTAAACTAAGATTTCGATCTCATGTATGGATACTACTGAGGAGTCTCAAAACAGCTGATATCGATCATCAGATTTTTCTGCTTTTCAAATAACAAGTATCCATCTTATGTTCGATGCTTATGTTTAAGAACAAATATGCAGAGCCGACTTTTTGATTGGTGAACCCAGTTTTAATTAAACTATAAAAAATCGATATGTCTCTCCCGAAGTTAAAGATATGACTGATTATTAGCTACTAATTTTGTTGATCCCAGAGTATTTTTAACCTATTACTTACAAACATCAGGCAACCAAATAATTTAGCCACTTAAACTGAGTCCAGCATCACATTTGCGTGTTTATTATACTAAACGTTGATTGGTGCGTTTTTCGGGGATTATTTGGATAGGTCATTCAATCGATAAGAAGTCATTCAAAGTGTGCCTCTACATTTTGTTGTCTCCCCTCCCCATCCGATAAAATGATCGACCAATGAATAATATGTCAGACCAATAAAATTGTCATGTTTATTATTTATAAATCACTTCATGGTCTTCAAATTGAGCTAAATTGCTTTTATTAATGGACCTAGATTGTACAGCCAACTCCTCAGTTTCGGACTCTCAATCAAATGAACACACTGTCGGATCTAGTCCAACAGAATTAGGCTATGAAAATACTATAGGAACACCGACAGGAGTGGAACATTACTCCGATCTATATGATAACCGATCAAATAAAATTGTGGCAGAAGACCCTAGAAATAATTTGGAGTCGTCAGTCAATGAAAGTGGCTACAGTTCCTATTGGTAAGTTAGTCAAGGTCATTATTTTAAGATACGTAGTAAAGTGTACTTGGAACATAAAATGTTTGGATAAATTACTGCCTAGTCTGAATCTAGCATATTAACAATCTCATATACAATAACCTTAATTAATCAGGACATTTGAAGACTGATGTATTATTGATATACGGCTATCACATATATTCGCCGAGGTCTATTTCGATGATTGACTGACTAGGTTTACTAATTCATCATTAGATTCTTTGAAGCGTATGATGGAATTCTACCCACATTACTCTAATGTAGGTAATATGAAGTCGTAAGCCCAAAATATATCAGTTTAAATGTTATGGAAATAAATGGAATATCATAAAATTTACTACAACTTTTCAAAGAAAATTCGTTAAGAATCCCGGACAGTGAATAAAATTTTCAAAATCTTTGCTTCATAAGTTCAGAAGAATTTTAAGTTCATAGATCTTAAATGAAGCAAATTATTCTCCACAATTAAGCTCATAGTTAACGTGATTGTTACTCGGTTGATAGAATTTAACATTCACACACTTTATATCATGTTAAATATCGATAGTGACAATGATAAAAATTGAGTTTACTGTGCAGATGAATTATAGGTGTATAGCGTCTTAAATATTTCGACTTTTTTTATTAGTGATGAGTATACTATTCAATGTCGTGACAAGAAAACTGTTGTTGGACATCATGTTCCCTACTTTTTAACTATCATGCTGTGAAGCTGAATAAAGAAAAAATTATTTAATTAATCCCGATAACTTACGTAAATGGAGTCCTTCTATCGTTTGCCACAAGTGATACTATGTCGTCAGTATGAATAATTATTAACTTTCCTTACAATAAATATTGATCAAATATTTTAAATTTTTTTATGCGGATCAATACGATTTAGTAATCTCTGTAGATCACTACATACTATTATGCACCTTTTGTACTATGTGAGTATATTTGTAGATTTTAACTTTATTTCCTAATTCCTTTCTTTTAAACTTTGAAGTAACTATAGTTACATATCAACTGAAGATGCAATTACTAAATCTGAAGAAAGTGAACCTCAGTTTTGCGTTAATGCATGCCATTCGATTTATACGATTCCATATATGCCAGAGAACTTAACAAACAACACTTGTCGTTATGTAGAATTTACAAGTGACAACAACGAGACAGTCAACGCAGTAGCATCCATAGTTAGTCATGGTGTGAATTCTTGCAGTTATATCCCTGTTTCTAATATGATTACTACTGTTATCAATCACAATTGTACACCAACAGTTACAAATGAATTCACCAAAATCTTTAACTACCAGTGTGACACAATATCAACCCCAGATATAACAAGGAAGAATGATAATCAAATAAATTTCAAAAGTGATCCTGATACATTTTGGGTTAGTCAGCGTGATGACATTCAAAAGTCAGTTAGCAGAAGAACAGGTCATCTATCAAGTGATAAACAAAATGCATTGGATGGTTACGTAGACAGTGGAAACATTCCTACTTCTACAGAGCAACAACTTTTACAGCCACAGGCGTGTTTAAACAATTATCGTGTCAAAGAGGACGAATCCAAAGGGTCGTATAATTCAAATTTTCCTGAATTTGCGTACAACTTAATGAATACACATTCTCAACATTACACAACAAGCGATTTTATTAATGCCAGTTCTCAAAATTCCGTGATAGACTGTATCTCATCATATCAAGATAGTTCTCAGAATTCTGAGAGCGTCAGTGCTTGTGTTAAAGGGCCATCGTTTTATTCGCAAACTCATAACGTTTATTGGCCTTGGGTCGACAGGTTTTACGCTGAAAATTGCGCTTCGAAATTAGGCTCAGTTTGTAATTCGGATGTTGCTACTAAGGGACTGATGAACTACACAAATTCATTCTCTTGTAATCCAAGCTTTGGTCATTCCTACAATTCACACTCTTTATTCATCAGTGGTGCTAATCTCCCGCACATCAGTGAAAAGCCAAATGAACAGTCTCAGTCTTCGAAACTTTCAGCAGTAAATTTATGTACAGGGGATAATATGTCTGCTTTTCATTCTATTGCTCAAATATCGAGTGATTACTCCGGGACATCTGTGGTTGCCGGTAATATACCAAATCTCATTTTAATGAACGCACAAAGCAGTGGTGATTTTTCAGCTCAGTCTGCCGATAATCGTAAAGAATCTCAAGAAGATGAGAATAGCTTTGATCATAGTGAAACGTCATGGCAACCAGAACTGAATTCTGTTCAAAGTTCATCATGCAAAAGATTGTCAGATAAACAGAGAAAGACTATATGTGTTTCGATTCTCAACGAAAATCAAACGGAAGATTCACATACCCCTCAAGATGAAATTACCCAAAATTCCTCCACATCATTTGATATTTCGAGCCTTCACCGAGAAAATGAAATTTGTTTAGACCAATCAATCTCTGGAAATAGCTATTCATGGACGTCAAAAAGTGATAAACTGAAATTTAATTCCCGCTTAAGATCAAAAAGATATTCTGACGCGATCAATTTAACACGAAATAGACCATTAAATCAAACTGCCTTGAGTGTGATGGAAAGTTGGTATACAAATCATGTAGATAACCCGTATCCTACAACAGCGGAGAAAGAAGAATTAGCAGCACTTGGTGGAATAACAGTAATTCAAGTAGGTTAATTCTATAAATTGATAATCAGTGATATGTTTCGTAACGTCATCTAATTTATTTATTGTATGGTAGCTCTAAGCTTGTTAGTAAGCTTCTTAAAAATCGACAGTTTTGCTTTTTCATATAATTTTTTACAAGATTATTCAGGAATTGACTCTAGGAATTTGAGTAGTCAAAACAACAATCAACCTTTTTATATATTTGTTAAATGTTAGGCAAATTTTGTTACAAATTTGTGTGCATTAGTTATTGAAATAAATAATAATTTATGGTGAGAGATGCATTTAAATGTTCTTTTTCTAAAGTTGTTTTTTCATGACTTTGAAGAGTGGGTCACATATACGTTAGAGTTTATGTCATAAATTAAAGTATACTGGAAAACTTTACTTCAAAAGCTCTTCGATGTGCAAAAAATAAACATAATTAGGCTATTCGAATGTTTGCTATTACTATTCGTTCATGCACTTATCAAACGTACATTCTGGAGTTTTGAACCATAATTTCTTGAATGATAGACGTTAACAATTTTATTTTGTTTATGACTGAGTTATGGATTACTCTAAAAATAATGTTCAACGTTTTTTGTTCATGGTATCAAGTTTTTTAAAAACTCATTTCACTTACAGGTGAGTTCTTGGTTTGCCAATCGCCGAACACGAACTGCAAACACCAAACCGAAGAAGAATCGAAGAAAGTTGTATCATCAAATTTATCAACTAGCCGTTGAAATTGAAGCATTAACACAGGGATCGCTCCGAGCTTGTGATTTACAAGAACGAATTGGACAAATTATTGATGAATATTTAACGTGAATTTTCCAGCCTTACTATTCATAACTTTTAGACACCGTTAATTCTTGTTTATAGTCAGTTTCTGCTAACTTTTTTGAATCTCAGGTTCATTTTTTGTTCTTGTTTATTTTTACTTTACTTATTTGGAATTTTTTGTTTGCTTGTCAGATGATTCTTTTTCTTACTAATACAGTTTTTTATTGAAGTCTGCTTCGTTTTTGCTATATTCTAGGAAAAATGTGATCACCTTAAGATTATAGTAATTTTAATAGGTCACGTTCCTTATTAAATTAGCGTATCAGCTTACTTCATGGTTACGCAAACGTAGTTTATATGAGAGCATTTAACTCTGATCTGTTGAATAGATAAAATATGAAGAGATCCGCTTGTTAGGTTATATTTTTACCGTTTCGCAGTCTGTGGTAGCAAGTACAGTGGATACGTGACTTGATTGTTAAATCACTTACAACCACTTTTTTTTTGCTGATTAATAATTGTTGAAAATTTTAACTAGATACCGGGCTGTTCATGTCATTTATAAACAAGCAACCTCCATTTGTTCATTTGAACAAAACTTGGAAGTATTTTCAGTAGTTATTATCTACTCAAGTACTCTTGCAGTAAATACGTTGAAGTAGTCTTTGGAATGCTTCCGAAAACTTCTTTTGTGATCATCAATCTTTTATCCTTCTTGTTCGAATTAAAATTCATAATGGTCAGTCGACAGATCAAGTTTGTCAGTCATGTATAGATATATGAATAGTGTACTACACGCCGAAGTTTGTGCTTATGATGTTAGCTAGCAAGACAGTAAAAACTTTATGACTAAACTACGCAACTCAGGAAAAGTAACTCCACCAAACAGGATTTAATTTTCTGCACAGTACTTTGCCTTTTATATCACAAACGCTAACATGAGTTATTCACACTTCACAGCATTTGTAAAATTTATCTCAACAGATAACAAAATAATTCCATTGTTCTCATGAGACATTTTTGACGACTATTTTCGTTAGCAGAGATAAACTACAGAGAAATTGAATTAGCATAGTTTAAATAACGAAATGATCTTAGCTGAACCACAACTGGAAACCAGGAAGCGATAATCGGTTGACTGTTCTTAGGTAGGACTCGTCAGTTTTCTACGAACCTAGATCCGGGAACTGAACCCAGGACCTACGTTCTCGTGAGAGAACATTTAACTTACAAACCACTGAGCTGGCTCCAACGGTTTTCGTTTCCAAATTCAATATGATGATGATAATTATGCCTTCAATAGTGATTAGGTTCATAGTGCAAATCCTGGAGTTTTACTGAGAAGCTGTGACCGGTGGGGTTCATCCATGTATGGTACGAAATATTTGTCCATCTCTGACCATGAACGAGGGTTGTGCAATATCGTAAAGTGATTGAAGTTATACACCAATATCGTTGGGTGCTGGTTTAGTTGTTTGAAGTTTAAGCTTTCCCTAGCAAGACCAATGTTTCTATGTTCTTCACCCCTCGTGGGAGGGTCTTGGGTGTACACCGCTAAGGAGTCCCAAACTAGGACGCGATATCTATCCAGGCATTCGGTGATTATCTGACCATGACCAATTTCTTATGTAATCTTTGTAGATTCATAATCTCCACAAACCTCCTACACCAATGGTATTTAATCATTAAAGCTAACGGAAGTCTGCAAAATTTAATCAAATTAATCTGGAGACAAGTAGTCATTGTTTGTAAAAGCCCATTAAAAAATAATTTGATTATGTGGAAAATTCAAGAACGACATGTAATAAAAATCAGGATGACTAATTCTAATAATATTTCCACCATAGATTTAAAATGTCAGTTTGCTTCCAACACTATGACGTCGGTATAATCTATATATATGGGGTAAACGTAAATTATTTCTGTTTATTTGTATATTATTTCGTTGTTTTATGTCATCATTTTACGACTAGTAAAGGAGACTCTCTGTTCCGCAGTTGATTTTGCAAAAGGATATCCTCTAGCTTAAGGCTGAATTAAAGTTATTTAGATTGAATTTACTTTTTCATTTTTATTTCTAGAACCAGTATGCTCAATCGGGAAAAATTCATTCAGCCCGTTCAAATGCACCTATCACTGACAATTCACATAAACGACAGAGCTGTTTTGATTTAATTGTTCCTAATACCCCTGATATTTTTGTTGATTATTCATAATACATGTGACATATATAAGATCAATATTTTATTTTTTTCGTATTAAATATGAACGAATCACATAATCAGTGTCTAAGTAAAAAAGAACTTATTACAGTATGAACAGAAAGATGTAGTTTGAGGATTTTTAATTAAATGACCTTTTATCAGCTTTACAAACCATAACAGTTTTATTGATTACGTTTTTTGAACGAAATGAACCAGTGATGACTTGTCACATATAATAACTAGCCTTGACAACAACAAAAAAAGCAGAAAATTAGCCGATTTATCTGTTATTAATTTTATTTGACATCAGATATCAAACCGTTCAATAACCATATCTTGAATGCTCATCATTCATTACATCAACATTTGTTAATGAATAAAGTAGTTACGTAATAAAATGATGCGCTGAGAGATTTTAGTCACGGTTAATACACCTCGAAAACTTAACGTAATATATTTATGAAAGTCAATATTAATAACTGCAATTCAGATCAAATGGTTTCTATTTGCCTAATCAAAATAGACTATATTAGGGTATACATAAACAAGGAGTCTGTAATTCTTAAGTAACTGCTGTGACTCATCTGTATGAGATAGGTGGTATCCCTAATATTTCAGTGATTGACTTTCTAATTGTAATAGTGTGATGAGACATAGGAATCTATCAAGGAATAACAGTTCTCCATGATAACACATATGGGTCCATCTAAAGAGATCCATACCATCAAAACACTTAGTAGTAAGATCAATCTAAATTTCTTGTCAAGTAATCAAGGCTGTTGACTGCACTTCACATTGATGAAGAGGATTTTGTCAACACCAATGTCTAAAAAATATGATATTCGTAACTCGCACGTGATTATTTAGTGCAAAAGTTTTTTCCACAAATTTGAACAAGGATCATTAAGTGAGTTACGAGTAATGAATTGTTAAAGGTGTACTAACTACAATCCTGGAACTTGTTTGTCACCTGTTTTTATTTAATACAACTCCATAATCAGTTATGGTATATAAATTCACGAATTTTGCAGATGAGGTAATTCTCCATATTTTATCACTTTGAGGTAACTGATCTCATTCTACTCATTTATGATTGTTGAGTTTGCTATAGAATTTAAATATGTATTGGAAGGAAAATAAGTTTAATGATAATTTAACAGCAAGCGACTTGTATAAATATGTAATCATGTGTCCGCCGTTGCCAACTGTAAATTAAACTGACGTGCTACATTGACTATTGGGTTGATCGTTATACTGGAAAACGAATAATGAGTTCTAGAGAACGGCAATTATTTGTTCGTGATATTAACGACCATTGAGTAGGAAAATACATGCTTTCCGTCCGGAATCCACAAAACCACTTTAGACTGTGGTTAGCGGCGTCATATTGTACAGAATTTGCCCTAGTAGTAGTGACACATTCATTTTTCCTTTTTTTTCAAATTCCTGTTCATAGTATTATTCCATACTTTAAAGTCCTCGATGCCACACTTTTACTTCCATTATAATCAATTTTCTCACTACGATCAGTATCATTATTTTTAATTCTTCTTAGACTTTATTTAAAAAGTTACCAATTTCTGCTATACATATTTCTACTTTCATAACTCTAATTGCTACATATCTCTTGGTTAATGGTTTATTTTTTATATCAGTCAAAAAAGTCTAAGCTAAATATATATATTAAACAATGAAGAACGGCTAGATAATTTCAGACACTTCGATGATTGACCATCAGTTACATATATTTCAGTGAAGCATTTTCAAACACAACAAACGGTTAGGCAAGAATTAACGTTTCCATTATCAAATCAAACCAAGTCAAAGCGTTTAAATTTTAGCTAATTAACCTGAAAACATATTGTTAATTTCAATACATAAGGTAGAATACAATGAATGATAAGCCAAATACACGCCACTTGTCTTTTTTCAGTTCAAACTCAGTTTACATTAGAGATCATTTATAGTTTACAAAATGGTATGTTTACAAAGAATATATTGTTATTACTGACGTAACTGTTTCGCATATGTGGTCAGACCTAGTGTTGATGAATGCATATGTTGAAATTGTTTCGAACATTTCTGAAAAAAAGTTAAAACCAGATATCAGAAAATAATTTAGTCATCGAGACACAACTACTGTTTCAAAATTACATCCAATGTAATGCCGAAAAACAGTAATTCCCTACAGATATTTTAACAATTTACAAATAATGTGTTAAAATGAAAACAAAATAATACCTTCATGAGAAAACAATGAAAGCACGTGGATACATGAATATAGGTGGCACAATATAACAAACCTTTAAAGACTATGAGTGTCAGTAATTTATCTTACAGTTTATCTAGCTGGCGTTTTATGAGATTCTGACTAAATCAAGGTAGTAGAGTACATCAATATTGCAGACAAGAACAAAAACTCAAATCGATAAAAGTATATGAAATAACGAACAACTCTTATTAGTGAATCTTATGATCATATTAAACAGTAAGAAATTTTTAATCTATAAAGTCTACATTAGAAGCATACCCACACAAAGCTCTAATTAAAACGAATGGTAACACACCACAATATAACTAAATCCGATGACGTAATTTGTATCATTAACAAGATAAAGCAATTTACTCGGTGAGACTTTACATAATATTCTAAACGCTTGACAAGTTGATTTTAAGAGTAAATTATCTACCCCACTTTCATTTGAATATACTTAACCCCACTAAGTGATATCGCCTGAAGAACATTTGAAATTCAAGGATCACTAGACACCTGTGTTGTTCTAGCTTATGAAATACCAACACGGTAAATTTGTAATGCCTGGGAGGATTTAAATAAGAAATTTCAGGTCTTATGTTAACTTTAGACCATTTAGTTAATCTCTAATAGTCCAAATTTTCGCATTTACTCATTTTACGACTCAACGTGAAGATTATTCAGTGTTACCGAAAAAACTTGTTTCATTCCTGACATGGTCAAATTGAGCAGTCGCTAGAGCTTCTCGAATTCATATGGATGTTGATC